GAAATTTCTATCTATTTCTGAATAATTAAATTTAGTAGCAAAGAATATTATTATTTTTAATCTAAATAATTTTCGAGCTCATTATATTATATGATTACGTTATGATACTATAAAAAGATACTACTATTAAGAACTTTGTTAATATTTAAGATGAATAGAAGATTTTGAAAAAAAGATACATATAAAATATTTTAAAAATAATTACACGAATATCTCAAATAAATAAATAATCATTTTTTATAATATTTTATTTAACTATATAATATATAAATCTATTTTCATATTTCAATATTTTTTTTTAGACAATTGAAGAATTAAAAACTAGGCTACATGCTGAGCAATCAGCTTGCAAAACAGAAACTGGCATTGATCAACGTAAGTTGCAAATAATGAAAAATTTAAAAATAATAAAATTTCTGATTAATTTTTTTATTCGAATTTTAGAGAAAGCAAATGATGTTATTCAAGGCAATGTCGATGTAGAAGATAAAAAAGTTCAATTATACAGTGAATGTATATTAAAAAAATTCAACATTGTTAGTATAAATAATAAAATTATTTAAATAGAATTATACAAATAATATATAATAAACAAAATAAAAAAAAATTATTGTCACTTTTGCAACAGCTTGATACAAACGGTGTCTTTAAACCACAAGGAATTGTAACAGTTATGGAAATACTTATAGATGAGAATGCTGTTAAACAATTAGTCTCCGAATGTTCAGCCATCTGTAAGTAAAAAATTATTAACAAAAAAATAATTTATATATTATATATTATCTTTATATATTCTTTATATATTATATATTTTAATTATTACACAAAACTTTAAATAAATTATTATTGTTTATTGACATATATTTATCATTACAGCCGAAGATAATATACATTTGAAAGCAAGTAAGTTAATACAGTGTTTTTCGAAATATAAAACGATGAAAGCAGTAGACACTGTTTAAACGTCCAACTATCAAAAAAAACAAAAATTTATTTATAACATGAAATATCTATTTTTTATTTTGATTGTAAAAAATATTTAGACTTATATTAATAAATTGATACACAATTATTTAACGTTTAAGTTTTGATTATTTATCCATTAAATTTTGTTGCTTCTCCGTTCTGTTATGTTTTTATATTTTTATTATTTATCTAATCTAGTATGCATGTATTGTTATTATTTCTAAATTTTTTTCGATTCGTAATCTTTTGAAATTCTTTTATATTAAAATAACGAATTATCGAATTTTATTCTGAAACATTTTTATTATTAATTTTATATTATATTCCGTTATTTATAAAAATTATTGAAATATATAATATTTTAGATTGAAATTGTAATTATAGTTGCAACATGGATCATTGGTACAAAATAGATTTATCATTTTATGAGATTTAAATGAATATGAAATTGAGTATATGAAATTGAGAATTGATAAAATAATCAGTAGAGATTATATTAGCGACTCTGCAGCTCTAGGAAAATCGATCAAATGTGTTTGAATTGGTTCTCATTATAATTAATTTATTATAAATTTAATTTTCGTACTATTTCTTATCACATTTAATTCTGAAATAAACTGAAATAACAAAATAAATTATTAGCACCTAAAAATAAATATATAATTAATTGAAATACTATTTTATTATAATTTTCTCTTGCTTCTTCAATTTATTTTTGTAACCTCATTTATTTAATAATTAAAAACTGATTTGTATTTGTAGTAAAAAAAAATAAATAAAATATATTATGTTTTGTGATTTAATAATCATATCTTTTATTATATCATGTAATTCTATTTTTTTTTATAGTAATTGGTGTTTCGTTATTATTATTATTATTATTATTATTATTCACAATTTATTTATAATTTTAAATAAACTATATAATATTTATTGAATTAATTTTTTTAAACTTTATTTTGTCTTTATTAATTTTTATCTTTATTAGTAAATACATGTATATATTATTGTATTTATATTATTGAAGACTATAAGGAAACCAATATTTTTTCAAATTTTCAATTAATTCGCTTTCCACAAGAATAACAATCAAGTAATCATTTATTTCATCATTTGATAAAATAGAATTTATGATATGATTTTTTTTATATATGCGAATTATAAGTATATGATGAATTTAAGTAATAAAAAGAAAAAAATTGTGTGATGCATATGCACTGAAGTTTGAATATTTTTAAAATTTGGGGATTTTTCCTTGATATTCGATCTGTTACCGATAATTTTTGACTCGAGACATATGTTACAATAGATTATTCATTGATTCATGACAAAGATAATAACATGAAATTAAGTAATTAAAATAAATTAGATATAACGAGTATTTTACAATCGAATATGTACGTATATATACATATATTGCATATAAATCGCGAACTGCTATATGAAATAATGATTAAACGCATAAGTGAATTGCAAAAATAAATCTTACATAAAAGATTAAAGAAAATTTCTATAAATCAATAAATGTGTGATATTCATATGAATTTCAATGATTTTTAAATATATTATAGAGGATAAGATTTTAAATAATTTTCTTTTATATATGTAATCTTAAAAAAGAAAAAACTAGTCAAACGATCATTTAAACAAAATTCAATTTTATTCACATTTATTTTTTTTTAATCGTTTCATACTTTATATAAGAGATATAAAAGATATATCAGAGATATAAGAGATATAAGAGATATCAAGATATAAAAACATAATTATTAATTATTATTTATTTGGAATTATTAGAAATTAATTTGAATATTTCTTATTATTTTAATAAGAAATATTTTAATAAGCATTTTTCTTTTTATTTTTTAAGCATTATTTTAATATTGTTTTGATATGTTATATAAACCGTGCATAATCTGAATGAAAAAGTATTAGTGAGTTTTTCTTAAAAAAAAAAAAGATTATGTAGAATTATTGCTATTATTACTATTAATGAAAAGAAATTCTAACATGGAAGTAATAATTATAGATAATAAGTTTTCAATTTGCAAAAAATTGTTATTATTTCTACATTGTGATTTGAATATTTCGTTGAGATTAGTTTATTAAATATTCAGAAAATATCCGAATTCAAAATTTTGAATTTCTCCTTAAATTTTAAGTCAATTGATCGTTTTTAAAGTTATATTTCGATAAAAAAAAATTTATGTACTTGCAAAGTTTTAGTAAAAATAAATAATTGTTCGTTAATATTTCATTAATAAATAAGTATGTTGAAAAAATTTTTTGTAGACCATTATATATAATTAATTTTGAAAAAAGGACGGATAAAGAAAAAGAAACGAAAGATTATTTAAATGAAATTCAGACTTATTTATTATTATATTTTGATAATTTTTATTATATTTATTATTATTTTATATTCTATTAATCATTTCATTGTTTATATTATTCGAAAGATAAAATTTCTCAACATTTTAATAAATATTGTTTTTTATTTTTTAAATATTATTTTATTATTATTTATATATGTTATATAAGCGATATAACATATCTAATATGTTGTATAATCTGACTGGAGAGATATTAATAAATTTTTATTAAAAAAAATTATAATTATTTATAATTATTAATAAAAAAACAATTCTAAAATGGTAATAAGATAATTATACTTCAATTATAAAAACACTTCCTGCAATTCAATGTATATTTAGTTTTTGTTCAATATTCCTAGAAATATCATGAATCTCGTTTTTATGAAGTATTAAAAAGAAAAATGAAAATTATTGTAGTTATTTTTGTCTTTTGCTTTAGTACATCTTTTTGCGTTATTGGTAAATGTTTAAATATTTGATCCATCTTTTTTTCATATTTGATAATCATAATTATTCATATTTATCATCTATCTTTAAATTTTTTTCTTTATTATATCTTTAAAAATATTTTCAATTGTCGCAATTTATATTTTTGCGATACATTATGTTTCTTCTTGACATAAATTTGTTATAATAAATTTTTATTTAATAATAATCTGCTTTTTTTCACAATAGTTAATTTATTTATAATTACACTAATTTATTTATAACACTGATATAATATTAATTTATTTAATAAATAATATAATATTCGTGCGAGGAACAGAGAGCAACACGACCGCTCTAATCCGTGTCCGGAAAACGACTTCTCTAAATCGATATTTCGAATACGAATGTTGTCATTTCTATGTCGTCATTGATATTGATTATAATATTCCATTTCGTGGTTGTTCAGTGGTTTATAACAATATTATTAATCCTTTCGATTCTGCATATTTGCAGAACGATAAATAATTAATTAGCAATTAAGAATTTTAGTTATTTAGCAATTTTAGATTAATTTTAATCACCAGAAAAAAAATATTTCCCTATTATGAATAATTTATATTCATAATAATTATTAATAATTAATAATTATATAATTTATAAAAAAAAATCTTTTTCTATAAAAAAATTTTTTTTTGCAAAAAATTTAGTATCTCAAGAGATTGATAATATAATCATTTTGTTATTAATTACTTATTTTATAATATTATTTTAATATCGAATTTGATTTTGTTCTCTTTATATTCGTTTTATTTATAAATATATTAATTTTATAATCAATTTCACATATTCTTTACATTCTATTTTATTTCTTACTGAAATAGATCGAGAAAAAAAAAATTGGAATATAGTAACATATAATTATTTCAATTAAAATTTAAAATATTATTTTAAAATTCTTGATACACATATTTCTAAATAATTAAATGTAATAAGAAGTTAGATTTAATTTGTATCGACTAATTGTTTTCGTACAATTTTCATTATTATATGATTATTACATTATAATTTATACTATAGTAATAAAAATACTATTATAAGAAAACTTTTTTAATATTTGAAGATGAATAGAAAATTTTTAAAAGAAGATACATATATATTGAAAGTTTTAAATAAATAATCATTTTTAAAATATGTTATTTAATTATATAATACAAAAAGATATATAAATACAAAAAAATCTATTTTCATATATATTTTAATGCTTTTTTAGACAATTGAAAAATTAAAAACTAAGCTATATGCTGAGCAATCAGTTTGCAGAAACTGGTATTGACCAATGTAAGTTGCAAATAACGAAAAATTTAAAAATAGTAAAATTTTTAATTAATTTTTTTATTCGAATTTCAGAAAGGAAATGACGATATTCAAGGAAATGTCGATGTAGAAGATAAGAATGTTTAATATGTATAGTGTATTTCACAGTGAATTTATAGTGAGTGTATATTGAAAAAGTTAAACATGGTTAATATAGATAATAAAATTATTTAAATGTGAAGAATTATATAAATAATATATAAAAAACAAAATAAAAAAAATTATATCATTCTTCCAGATTGACGAGAATGGAAATTTTAAAGAAGAGATAATTAAAGAAATCATGGGATTAGTTTTAGAAGAAAGTGATTTTAATCAATTAATCACAAAATATTCAGCCATTTGTAAATAAAAAATTATTATAATGAAATAACTATTATAATGAAATAATACGATTATTATATATTTTAATTATTACATATAATTTTAAATTATAATTTTAATTAAATTATTTATTATTTATTATTGAAATATATTTATCATACACAATACTAATGTTTATTTAAGCAATTATATATAATATATATAAAGCAATTATATATATATAAAGCAATTAAGTTAATGTAGTGTCTTTCGAAATAATAAATAATGATGGAAGCAGTGCAATTTCTCTAAACTATCAAATAGAAAAGATTTATTCATAATAATTATGATTCAAATATGGTATACTAATTTTAATTGTAAAAGAATATTTAAAGAATTAATACTTAAAATATAATAATAATATTTAAAGAATATTAACAAATTGATGTACGATGTTACTTAATGTTTAAATTTTACTTATTCACTAAATTATTCACTAAATTATGTTTTTATACTTTTATAATTTAAATATTTATTTGTGTGATTTGATATGTGGTTATTATTTTTAAATTTTTTTTATTTCGTAATATCGAAATTATCGAAGCCTATTTTGAAACAAATTATTTCGTCATTTATAAAAATATTTATAAAAATTATCAAAATATGTGATATTCTGGATTAAAATTGCAATTGTAATTGAAACATATATATCCAAGTATATTCATAAAATACAAAATATAAATTTATCATTTTATGGAATTTAAATGGATAATATACGAAATTAGACATTTGTCATTGCAGATTATTAATATCAAAAACTTTATAAAAATTCGATTAAATACAATTGAAATTTTTTACTACAACTAGTTTATAATCAATTTACAATGTTAATTTTCTTCTTTTTTCTATTTCTTCTATCATACTTAATTCTAGAATAAACTTTATAAAAGAATGAATTAGTATCATTTAATATCAAATATATATTAATTAGTTTAGTTTTCATTATAAGAAGTAATGCTCTTACACTATTTTATCATACTTTTCTCTTAATTCTTCAATTCATATTTATAACTGATTTATTAATTAAAAAATAATTTGTATTTTTCTAAAAAGATATTAATATATTAATAATTCATATAAAATAAATATCAATCGAAATAAAAAGAATTAAAATCGAATTTATCAAGTTATACACTTATTTATATTATATTTTATATTTTATATTTTATTATTTATATTATATTTTATATTTATATTTATATATATATCAAGTATACACTTAATTTAAACATTTGTAAAATTATTATATTCCTCAGATATCAAGAATATTGTATAAACTATATGCGTCTTATATAATTAGAAATAGTTTTCCAAAATTTATATATTTCATAGATTCCATAGAGAAATAATCTTCTTATCGTGTTTGTTTTATATTTTTACAAAATATAAAATTTATTTTACATTTATTTTACAATTTAAAATCATAATACTTCTTTTTTCTAATATTCTTATATTATTTTCAAAAGTTCTTTACTAAATAGATATATATCATTTATAAATTCTACAGAATATTATTTAAACAGTATTAGAAATTTTAATCAGTTAATGAAAACCAAATATTATTTTGCAATTTAATAATCATATCCTTTATTGTATCATATAACTCTTTTTCTTTTTTTTTATAATTAAATTTTTTTTATAATTAATATCTTATTATATTAATATAATTTCGAATAATATTTGCTGGATTTAAATCATTTTTATTATTATTATAAAATCAACAAATATATATGTAAATTAGATTTATAAATAAATTACAATACAAAACTAATATTTTTTATTATTAAGAAATCTTCATTAATAAGAAATAATCATTTATTTATTTCGTTATTAAATATGAAAATGATATTTATATAATTTTTTTATAAATATGTTTTTTTTTTATCTTGCATAACATGATGATCTATATATATACATAATAAGAATCTTTTATTGCGCCGTACATGAAAGAAATACAATGAGATTTAGTTTTCTCACATAGTTGCGGAATAAAATACCGCAATTATCGATTAAGATTTCATGTGAAAAAATCACATGAATAAAAAATCTTTAGTTTATGACAATTTTTTAATTATATATAATTGTTCAATCTTTTATTAAATGAGTCTTCATTAGAAGAAAATTTTTGTCTTTTTTTCTATCTTTTATAATAACGAATTAAGCAAGATAAAAATTTCAAAATTTTTAGAATTTGGAAATTTTTCCTTGATATTCAATCCTCGATCATCGATTATTTTTGAATTGAGGTTACATAAATTATAGCAAATTATTTATTCATTGGATAAGGATAATATTATGAAACTAAATAGTTAAGATAAATTAGATACATTAAATAATATCTTATAGTCAGACGTATACATATATATCGTATGTAAATAGCGAATGGAACAATGATCAAATGCGTATTACGTAAATTAATTATAAAAATATATCCGATGTAAAAAAAGGAGAATTGTTGAACCAATCAATGTATGACATTTTTATAAATTTTAATTATTTTTAAATACAAATATAAAGAATAAGAATTTGAATAATATTCTCTCATTAATCTTAATTTATAGAGATATTTGTAAAAATTTATTGCTATTATTACATTGAAGTTTTGGCATTTCATGAAAATTATCATATATAATATTCGAAATTAAAATTTTTACATTTATGGTTCTTCTAAATTTAAAGTCACCGATGCTCGCCCCTTAAAATTATGTATTATAATTTGTGTATTTATAGAATTTTATTGAAACAGAAACGAAAAATTGCTTGTTAATATTTTATTAATAAAATTGTCTATAAGATCTTTTTATAAGCTATTATATAAAATTAATTTTATAGGAAAGAAAAAATAGGAAGAAAAGAAAAGAAATAAATGATCATTTAAATAAATTTTAAAATCTCACATTTATATTTCATTATATATGTATAGCTATTATATAAAATTAATTTTATAGGAAAGAGAAAATAGGAAGAAAAGAAAAGAAATAAATGATCATTTAAATAAATTTTAAAATCTCACATTTATATTTCATTATATATGTATATATTCCAACCGTTTGACATATTATTTGAGAGATATCTTACTATTTAAGAAATAAAAAATGAAAATTAATTATTTAAATATTTCGCTTTAAGCACTACCTATTCATTTTTTAAATAGTATTATATAATCAACGTATAATCTGATTGAGAAATAATTAAAAAAAAAAAATAAATAAAAATATGCAAAATCATTTATTATAATAATTAGAGAGAGAAACTTTAAAGTAAAAATAGCACAGATACATATTTATAATATAAAAAGGTAACGTACATTCATTATTTATTCAATTCTCGTTATATACTTCAAGAGTATACAAGATATACTTCGAATTTTATTCATTTTAAGTCGATATATCTAAACGAAAAATGAGAACGATTTTGGTTATTTCTGCTATTTGTGTTTGCGTTGGTGCATTGGTAACAGTTGAAATATTTTTAATTTTATTCACATTTATCATAATTTATATTTAACATTTCTACCTAAATTTTAATTTTTATTTCTATTTATGTCTAAAAAAATATTTACAATTAACTTATATCTGTAATAGATTATTTCTCTTTTATTATAAATTTGTTATATTTAATTTATACTTAGTGATACTACTTTTTTATAGTTAGTTTTTATATTATAATATTATTAAACCTTTCGAATTTGCGTATTTCCAAAATAAGAAATAACCAATAACAGTAATTAGAAATTTTAATTATTATTTCTGTAATATAAAATAATTTTAAAATGATTAAATGATAAATATATTTCAAATAAAACATTCAAACATGTTCAATATTAGTGTATTGTGTCTTTTTTATCAAAATATTTTTCTATTAATAGATCAATTAACAGAGAAGAACCTTTTCTACTATCTAAAATCAAAAATTTGATATTTGAAATTTGTATTTATATATCATTTGCTATTTATTATTTTTTTATAATAAAATTTTTGTTGAATTTATTTTTGATCTCTTTATGTTTCCATAAGTTAATATTAATTTTATAATCTTTATTAATTTTACGATCGTATTGTTTTATTTTGATAATAAAAATTAGGATAATAATGTAATAATTTTTATTATTACACTATTTCGATTGAAAATTTTTTTTTTTGAATTTTTGAGAGATGTTTATTTTTAAATAATTAAATATAAAGGCAAAAACGATGGAATATTATTTTTAACATGAATCGAGCGATAGTTTTAGAGTTCATTATTTTGATTATGTTATGATAGTATAAATAAAAATACTATTATGAAAAACTTTGTTAATATTAAGATAAATAGAAAATATACTTGTAAAATATACATATATATAATATAGTATAATATATATATAATATAGTATAATATAGTATAATATATATATATATATAATATAGTATAATATAGTATATATACTATATATATATATATACTATAATATATATATATAATATATAATATATAATAATACGTTTATATAATGTACATTAAAAATAAGTTTATGTTTAATAAATATAAATATTAATTTAATAAATAAATAATTATTTTAAAAAGTATCTTATTTAATTAATACATAAAGTTATTTTGATAATATATTTTAATGTTTTTTTTAGACGATTAAAGAATTTCAAGTAGTGCTCCGTCATGGACAATCAACGTGCAGCGCAGAAACTGGTGTTAATCAACGTAAATTGCAAATAATGAAAACAAGATATATAAATAATAATATTTCTGATTAATTTTTTTATTCGAATTTCAGAAATAGTAGATGATGTTAATGATGGCAACATCAATATGGAAGACGAAAATGTTCAATTATACATTGAATGTGCGATGAAAAAATTCAATATCGTTAGTATAACTAATATTATTACTTAAATAGAATTATATATATATACATATATATATATATATATATATATATATATATATATGGAATATATATTATATATATGGAAATATTAAAGAAACTATTGTCATTTTTCGACAACAGGTTGACAAAGACGGAAATTTCAACGAAAATGGAACCAAAGAAATAATAAAAATATTTTTAGATGAAAATGAAATTAATCAATTAGTCACCGAATGTTCACCTATTTGTAAGTAAAAATTATTAATGAAAAAATACAATTCTTTATATATTATATATTTTAATTACTACATAAAATTTTTAATAATTTATTTATTATTTTTTACATTTATCATTATAGCTGATACCAATGTACGTGTGAAAATTAGTAAGATATATCAATGTTTTATGAAATATAAAACATTAACAGAAGTACTAAATGCCTAAATGTTCAATTATCAAAAAGAAGAGATTTATTCAGAATACTTATTTTTTATTTTAATTGATTATTTAATTTATTTTAATTATTTAAATTGATTAAATCAATTAATAATTAATTAAATTAAAAATATTTGGGGATTATTAATAAATTAATAATTGTTAATAATAATTATTAATAAATTGGTGTATGGTTATTTAAGTTTGGTGTTTAAGTTTTTTACCTATCTACTAAATTATACTTCTCCGTTTTTCCAAATTTTTTATTTCTAATTGCAATCTATTTTGTAATTTTTCTATATTAAAATTGAGAATTTTATTCTAATATAAATTATTTTGTTATTTATAAAAATTATCAAAATATATAAGATTTTAAATTAAATATTTAAATTGCAATTTTAGTCACGAATTATTAATAAAGTACAAAATACGAATTATTAATAAAGTACAAAATAGATTTATCATTTCAAAAGACTTAAATAAGATTGATTTTGTTATTAATGTAGATTATAATACATATAATATGTATATAATCATATAAATATAATATAAAACATAATGTAAATTATGTTTTTGGTTCTAGACGTACTAGGAAAATCAGTCAAATATTAATGAAACCAATCGTTTATATTGTTTTTACTCTTTATTGTTATCGTTTATTATGATTATAATATTCACGTCTGATTTTTGATTTATATTTAAATTTTAAATAAATTTTATAAGAAAATTAATTAATTAATAACATTTAATGACAAAAATGTAATTAGTTTCTTTTTATTATAAATTAAGTGAGACTTAAATGTTGTTTTCTTTTTCTTTGTTTATGTATAATTCATATTTATAAAAATTCATTTATTTTAATAATATTTTTATTTGATTAATTAAAAAATAATTTCTAATTAATACCTAACAAAAGGTATTAATAAAACATAATTATACTTATAAAAGAAAAAAAATTATAAAAAAAATTTTAAAAATTGAAATTTGATTTAACAGTTTGCACAATTTTTTTAATTTAATTTAATTATTTAAATTAAAAAAAATTAATTATTCAAACATTTCTTATCGTTTTAATTAGTATGTTCTTTTATTCTTCGAATATTCTTATATAATTGATATATAATCCGATATGTTCTTGGGAAACATTAATTTGTTGAAAGAAAAAAAAAAATCATTTATTGTAATAATAGAAAGAGAAATCATAAGATAGAAATAGATAACATAGAAATATATAACATGTATATACTGTATTACATATATTATAGTATAAAAAGGCATTGTATATTCAATGTTTATTCAGTTCTCGTTGAATATATTTTAAAAATATTCGAATCTTGTTTATTTAAAATCGATATATCTAAAAAAAAAATGAAAACGATCGTGATTATTTCTGCTATTTGCGTTTGCGTTGCTGCAATGGTAATGATTTAAATATTTTTAACTTTATCCATATTTAGCATAATTTATATTTATATTTATTTATTTCTCTATTTAAGTTTTAACTTTCATTTCAATGTTGATGTCTTTAAAAATATTTATAATTAAAAATATTTATCGCAACTTATATTTTTACAATACATTATATCCTTTTTAATAAAAATCCTTTTTAATAAATTTCTTACATTAAATTTATTTTTAACGACACTATTTTTTCATTGATACTTGTATAATATTATTAACTCTACTATATTTCAGTATTTATAAAGTAATAAATAATAAGTTAGAAATAATTACTAATTTAATTTCTAATTTATTATTTAGTAATTTTATTTCTTGAAATTAAAAAATTATAAAACGATAAACATATTTTTGATAAAACATTTGTTTCAAATATATTCAATATTATTTTATTATGATTTCTTTACCAAAAAATTTTTCTATTATCTATAATATATTTTCTATAATCAATTAACAAAAAAAAAAACTTTTTCCACTATGAAATGAAAAGTTTGATTTCTTTTTAAATTATTATATTTATATTTGCCATTTAATAATTTTTTTATGATAAAATTCTTATATTAAATTTTAAATCTCTTTATATTTTTTCATAAATATATTAATTTTACAATCGATTTTACGTTTTATTTCTTTTATAATAAAAATTGGGATGTAATAATTTTTAATTATTATGATTAAAAATCTTTTCATTTTTTGAATTTTTGAAAGATATCTATTTCTGAATAATTAAATGTAATGGCAAAAATAGTGGAATATTTTTAACATGAATCGAGCAATAGTTTTAGAGTTCATTATTTTGATTATCTTATGATATTATAAATATAGATACTATTAGCAACTATAGATACTATTAACTATTAACTATTAGCAATTATAGATATTGTTAACTTTGTTAATATTTAAGATAAATGGAAAATCTTTAAAATAATATATATATAAGAATAGATATTAAGAATTTTAAAAATAATTATAAGTTTAATAAAAATTATTTTATAATAAATAAATAATTATTTTAAAAATATTTTATTTAACTCATACATAAAGTTTATAATAGATTTTAATGTCTTTTTTAGACAGATGAGGAATTAAAAAACGGACTACGTACTCTACAGCCAATTTGCATGGCAGAAAGTGGCGCTAGTCAACGTAAGTTGCATATAATGGAAACAAAATATATAAATAATAATATTTCTGATTAATTTTTTTATTCGAATTTCAGAAATAATAGATGACATTTATAGTGGCAACATTAATTTAGATGATGAAAATGTTCAATCATATGTTGAATGTATGATGAAAAAATTTAATATTGTTAGTATAATTATATTACTTAAATAAAATTGTACATATGTACACATAGAAAATAAATTAATAAATAAAAAAATTATTGCAACAGGTTGACGAGAATGGAAATTTTAAGGAAAAAGATACCAGAGATATTGTGGGAGCAGTTTTAAATGAGGATGAAGTTAATCAATTAATCACTGAATGTTCACCTATCTGTAAGTAAAAAATTATTAATGAAAAAATAAAATTCTTTTATAATATATTATATATTTTAATTATTACATAAAAGTTTAAATAAATTATTTACTATTGTTTTTTTACATTACAGCTGATACCAATGTACGTGTAAAAATTAGTAAGATATTACAGTGTTTTGCGAAATATAAAACAATAAATAATATACTAAATTCCTAAATGTAACTATCAAGAGCAAGAGGTTTGTTCAGCATATAGTATACTTACTTTCTATTTTAATTGATTATTTCATTTATTTTAATTAATTAAAATATATTTGAAAACTTTTATTAATAAATCAATATATTATTAATAAATTAATGTATGATTATTTAACGTATTTAAGTTTTTAATTTTCGATTTATTGAATTACTTCCTCGTTTTTCCAAATTTTTATATTTTTATTAGTGGTCTGATATGCTAATTATACTATCAAAATTTTTTATTTTGTAATCTATTTTAAAATTTTCCTATATTAAAATTGAAAACTATTCTTTTTTCTAAAATATTTTTTAATTTATTTTCTAAAATATTTTTTTATTACTTAATTTATTTTTAATTTATTCTAAAATAAATTATTCGGTTATTTATAAAAATTATAGAAGATATATAATATTTTAGATTAAAGTTGTAATTTTAATTGTAAAATAAATTATTAATAAAATATAAGATAGATTTATTATTTTAAGAAACTTAAATAGAATTGATAAAGTTATTATTATAAATTATCGAAATTATGTTTTCGGCTCTAGGCACATTAAGAACATCAAATTTATATTGGTTTTTATTATTATCATATCATATGTGTATTATTATTATGTCTATTATAATATTTGTGCTTGATTTTTGATTATATTTAAATTTTAAATAAATTTTATAAGAAAATGAATTATATTAATAACATAGACGTAATTAGTTCCTTTTTATTATCAATTAAATAAGATTTAAATTTTATAATTTCATTTCTTTTTACATTAAGTAATATCTTATTATTATTATTATTATTAATTTTTTTACAACTAGAATAATCTTAAATAAACAAATATTTTTGATATAAATTATAAATATTACTAAAAAAAGAATAAATTCTTTATTATTAACAAATCTTAAAAAAAATAAACTATTGATTTATAATCACAATATTATTATTATATATATACATTATATATACATATATATACATTATAATCATCTAACACTACCGATTTATAATCATTCATTCCGTCATTAGTGTAATAAATTTCACATTTCTCAGAAGTAAGAAGTAATTATTCTATTATTCCATTGTTAGATGAAAAAATAAAATTCATAATATGATTTATTTATGAACACATGATTTTTCTCATCTTGTATAACACATTCAAATGGATGTATGTGTATATGGAAATTTTCTATTACATATTGAAATAAATGCAAATAATTGAAATAAATTCAAATCGAATATATGTGTGTATGGAAATTTTCTATTATAGTATATTGAAATAAATGCAATGAAAATCATAAGTTCTTTCAGATTATTGTGGGATAAAATTAATATGGGACAAAAAAACAATAGAATAAAATTTGTATTTGCAATAAAAAAAAATAGTTATTTCTTTATATTCATAATAATGATATTTCATTATGAAAATTATCGACGAAGATTTGTGAAAAAATGAATTTAATAAAAGTAATGTCTATAAAATTTTATGTATATATATAAATACATTTATACATATAAATACATATAAATATATATAAATACATTTATAACTATTTTCTAATTATATAAATATTAATCGGACAATCATTTACCGATTAATGATTTCCCCATTAAAAGAAATAATTTTTATTTGAAAACTTTTTATTTTTTACGAGTTACAACACAAAATTAAAATTAATCGAATTTTGAATCATGAATCAATTTCGATCCTTAGAATAAATTAGGGAAAGCAAAAAATTACATTATATACATAATTTACATATGTATTATATATATTGCTAAAATTTCAAAATTTTTAAAATACAGATTAGAAATCTCTTTTTGATACTCCGTCTGTTATTAACGATTTTCGAATCGAAGCTGTTATATGGCAGATTATTTACTCATTCATAGTAAATTGAACGAGAATAATAATACAAAATTAAGTAGTTAAGACAAATTAGATATATATAATATAAATAAGTCATAGTTTATTTTTAAATATATTCATACATCGTAAATAAATCGTTATTCAAGAATTTTTATATGAAAGAATAAACAAATGCATACTACATATATACATGAATTGCAAAAGCATATTTAGTATAAATAAAGAAGGATAAAAAGAATCGTTGATGAATCAATCAATGTATTGATGGATTTTAATCATTTTGAACTATGTATATAAAGAATAAAAATTTAAACAATATTTTCTCATATATATAATCTTTATTTATAGAAATATTTGTAAAAATGCTGTTATTACATTATTATATTATTTAGCATTACATGAAAATTATGATATATGATATTTCGAAATATTCGAAATTATGTACATTATATTTTTTAAGTTTTACTAAAAACAAAAAATGATTCATTATTAATTTGTTAATAAATAAGATTTTTCAAATATTTTTTTTAACTATTTTTATAAATTATTATTAATAAATTTGGAAAGAAACGAAAAAAGGAAGTAAATGATCATTTAAATGAAATTATATTAACTTTCATCATTCTAATAATTCGTTCGTTTATATACACCCTATATATAGAAATAAAAATAAAATTAATTTAAATATTTAAATATTTAATATTTAATTTAAATATTTCTTTTCGCTTTAATTTAATTTTAATCTTTATCTTAAATCTTTTTATATAATTGATCTGTATTGTATTTTACAATCTGATATATATTTGAGAACTATTCATGAGTTTTTGTTAATAAACTTATTTGCAATATCAATTATTGTAATAAAGAGAGAGAGAAATTCTGAGATAGAATTAATGAAGGTAACAATTATAGTATATAAAGACGTCGATATTCGATATTTGTTTAGTTCTCGTTAGATGTATTTCAAGTACGTTCAAGTCTGTGTCTTTATTTTGAATCACAACTAAAAAAAAATGAAAATAATCGTGATTATTTCTGCTATTTGTGTTTGCGTTGGTGCATTGGTAACCCTTCAAATATTTTTAATTTTATCCACATTTAATATAATTAGTATTTTGACATTTTAACTTAAATTTTAACTTTTTCTTTAATTCATTAAATTTTATTAAATTTTTTTTTATTTTAATATTTATGTGTTTAAAAATATTTTCAATTGTCACAACTTATATCTTTATAATAGATTATTTTCCCTTTAATATAAATTTATTATATTTAATTTTTATTTAATGACGCTACTTTTTCGTTACTTTTTAAAATATAATATTAGTAAACCTTTCAAATTCGAATTTGCTTATTTTCGAAATGAGACATAATTAATTAGGAATTTTAATTATTTCATAATATTAAATAATTTTAAAATGGCAAAATGATAAATATTTGTAATAAAAACATTGGTTTCAAACATTTCAATATTAATGTATTGTGTCTTCTTTATCAGAGTATTTTCCTATTACGATCAATCAAAAAAAAAATCTTTTCCAACATAAAATGAACAATTTGATATTTGAAACGATTTATATTGTCATTTGTTATTTTTTTTACAATAAAATTCTTATATTAGATTTATTTTGGACCTCTTTATATTTATTCATAAGTATATTAATCTTTATCAATTTTACGATTGTTGCATTTTTATGATTGCTTTATTTCGATAATAAAAATTGGGATGTAATAATTTTTAACTATTTCGATTAAAAATCTTTTTTTTGAATCCTTAAGAGATGTCTATTTCTGAATAATTAAATGTAATGGCACAAACGGTGAAATATTATTTTTAATCTGAATTGAACGATAGTTTTAAAGTTCATTACTTTGATTATATTATGATACTATAAATAAAGATACTATTACCAAAAACATTATTAATATTTAAGATAAATGGAAGATAAAAGAATATATAATGTACATTAAAAATAAATTTATGTTTAATAAAAATTAATTTAATAAATAAATAATTATTTTAAAAACATTCTATTTAATTTATATATAAATACTTATATATTTCTATTTAACTATAATAGATAGATAAATCTATTTATTATTTTCATAATAAATTTTAATATCTTTTTTAGACACATGAGGAATTAAAATCCGAGATACATATTCTGCAGTCAATTTGCAAGACAGAAATTGGTATTGATCAACGTAAGTTGCATATAATAACTTGAAAACAAAATATATAAATAATAATATTTCTGATTAATATTTTTATTCGAATTTTAGAAATAATAGATGATATTAATGATGGCAAGATCAATATAGATGACGAAAATGTTTTATTATTCGTTGAATGTACGATGAAAAAATTTAATATTGTTAGTATAAATAATATTATTACTTAAATAGAATTGTAGATATGTATACATAGAAATATAAAAAAATTATTATCCTTTTTGCAACAGGTTGACGAGAATGGAAATTTTAAGGAAAAAGATACCAGAGATGTTGTGGGAGCAGTTTTAAATGAGGATGAAGTTAATCAATTAATCACCGAATGTTCACCTATCTGTAAGTAAAAAATTATTAATGAAAAAATAAAATTCTTTTATAATATATTATATATTTTAATTATTACATAAAAGTTTAAATAAATTATTTACTATTGTTTTTTTATATTACAGCTGATACCAATGTACATGTAAAAATTAGTAAGATATTACAGTGTTTTGCGAAATATAAAACAATAAATGATGTACTAAATTCCTAAATTTTCAACTATCAAAAAGAAAATTATTCAGAATGCGATCTACTTATTTTCTATTTTAATTGATTTAATGTATTTTATTTAATTAAAAAAATATTTGAATACTTTAATTAATAAATTGGAATATGGTTATTTAACATGTTAAAGTTTTTGGTTACTGAATTATGTTTCTCCGTTTTCCTAAATTTTTATATTTTTATATTTTTCTTATTAGTCACTTGATGTAGTACGTAATTATCTACTATCAAATTTTTTTTACTTCGTAATTGATAAATTAATATTTTAATATTTTAATATTTAGTAATTAATAATTAATATTTAATAATTAATAATTAATAATTAATAAATTCGAAATTTTTTTGTTTTTACATACATTACATTATAATTGAGAACTATCGAATTTTATTTTAAAATAAATTATTTTGTTATTTATAAAAATTATCAAAATATATAAGATTTTAAATTAAATATTTAGATTGCAATTTTAGCAATACGAATTATTAATAAAGTACAAAATAGATTTATCATGTCACAATTAGATAAGATTGATTTTGTTATTATTGTAGATTATAGAAATTATGTTTTTGGTTTTAGACGTACTAGGAAAATCGGTCAAATATTGATGAAACCAATCGTTTATATTGTTTTTACTCTTTATTATTATCGTTTATTATGATTATAATATTCACATCTGATTTTTGATTTATATTTAAATTTTAAATAAATTTTATAAGAAAATTAATTAATTAATAACATTTAATGACAAAAACGTAATTAGTTTCTTTTTATTATAAATTAAGTAAGGCTTAAACGCTGTTTTCTTTTTCTTTTTATATTTTTATAGTTTATAGTTTATGTTATTTTTTATATTTTATAGTTTATGTATAATTTATATTTATAAAAATTCATTTATTTTAATAATTAAAAAAATAATTTATATTTGTATTTATGCATATATTTGCTATTTAAAAAATATATTTTTCATGCATAAAAAAGTAAAAAAAATATAAAATTTTTAAAAAAATGTAAATAGTTGGAATTGAATTTGATAGTTTGCGGGATTATTTCATTATTTAGAAATTAAGAATATTATGCGGCTTATAAAGTTGAATATAATTTTCCAAAAATTATGTATCTCAGATTTTAAAGAAAGAATTTTTTTATTATATATATAAAATACTTGTTTATAATATAACTTGTTTTAATATATATCATTTATTCCTATATCATTTCCAAAAGTTCTTCATGTATAGATGGCCACTTATCAGTTTTCATAAAATGTGATCTATACAATATAAAAATTTCTAATATTAACTTTAACATCAATTTTTATTGAAAATCAAATGCTATTATGCGATTTAATAATCATATTCTTTATTATATTATATTATGTAACTCTTTTTAAAGTAACTAATATCTCATTATTATTATTGTTGTTATTATTGTTATTGTTGTTGTTATTATTATTGTTATTATTGTTATATATATTATTGTTATTAAATTGTTATTGTTATTGTTATTGTTCTCTATTTAGTGATAATCTTGAATAAATAAATAATATTTATTGGATTTATCATCATTTTTATTTTTATATAAATAAATCAACATATAAATGTAATAAAAATGATATAAATCAAATATTATAAAACATGATCAAATTTTTTATTATTAACATATCTTAAACAAAAATCTCTAACACTATTAACAATTTGTAATCATTCATTTATTTCATCGTTAGATAAAATTACAAGATTTTAACAAGATAATCATTCTATTATTCCATTAGATACAAAAATGAAATTTATAATGATTTATTGATTAACATACGAATTTTCTCGTGTTGTATAATACATTCAAATCGGATATATATGTGTATGGAAATTTTCTATTACAGCTTATTACAGTTTTTCTATTACATATTGAAATAAATACAATGAAATTCAGAAATTTTTCCAGATTGTTGTGGGACAAAATATAAAAAAGCAAAATAAAATAAAATTTGTAATAAAAAAAATAGTTTTTTCTCTATATTCATAATACGATATTTCATTATGGAAACTATCAATGAAGATTTATGAAAAAATGTATTTAATAATTTTTATTTAATAATATTTAATAATATTTAAAATTTATTTAATAATAATTTTATGTTTATAAATATATATAAATACATTTATAACTATTTAACTAATTATATAAATATTAATCGGGCAATCATTTACCGATTAATGATTCTCCCATTAGAAGAAATAATTTTTATTTGAAAACTTTTTCTTTATTTTTTACGGGTTACAACATATAATTAAAATTAATCGAATTTTGAATCATGAATCAATTTCGATTCTTAGAATAAATTAGGGAAAGCAAAAAATTACATTATATACATAATTTACATATGTATTATATATATTGCTAAAATTTCAAAATTTTTAAAATACAGATTAGAAATCTCTTTTTGATACTCCGTCTGTTATTAACGATTTTCGAATCGAAGCTGTTATATGGCAGATTATTTACTCATTCATAGTAAATTGAACGAAAATAATAATACGAAATTAAGTAGTTGAGACAAATTAGATATATATATAATATAAATAAGTCATAGTTTATTTTTAAATATATTTATACATCGTAAATAAATCGTTATTCAAGAATTTTTATATGAAAGAATAAACAAATGCATACTACATATATACATGAATTGTAAAAGCATATTTAGAATAAATAAAGAAGAATAAGAAAAATCGTTGATGAACTAATTAATATATTGATGGATTTTAATCATTTTCAACTATTTATATAAAGAATAAAAATTTAAACAATATTTTCTCATATATGTAATCTTTATTTATAGAAATATTTGTAAAAATGCTATTACTACATTATTATATTATTTAGCATTACATGAAAATTATGATATATAATATTTCGAAATATTCGAAATTATGTACATTATATTTTTTAAGTTTTGCTAAAAACAAAAAATTATTCATTATTAATTTGTTAATAAATAAGATTTTTCAAATATTTTTTTTAACTATTTTTATAAATTATTATTAATAAATTTGGAAAGAAACGAAAAAAGGAAGTAAATGATCATTTAAATGAAATTATATTAACTTTCATCATTCTAGTTATCGTTTATATACACTCTATATATTCAAGAAATAAGAATTAGATTATTAAGAATTAGATAATTAAAGAAGAAATAAGAAAATTAGTTATTTAAATATTTCTTTTCTAATTTTTTCTTATTCTAATTCTTTTTTAATTTTCTAATTTAATTCTAATCTTTAAATCTTTTTATGTAATTAATGTGTATTCTATCATAATCTGATATGTATTTGAGAACTATTCATGAGTTTTCGTTAATAAAATTATTTGCAATATCATTTACTGTAATAAAGAGAGAGAGAAATTCTGAGATAGAATTAATGAAGGTAACAATTATAGTATATAAAGACGTCGACATTCGATATTTGTTCAGTTGTTATTGAATATATTTCAAGTGCATTTGTATCTCGTTTATTTGAAATCGATATATCTTAAAAAGAAAATGAAAACGATCGTGATTATTTCTGCTATTTGTGTTTGCGTTGGTGCATTGGTAATCCTTCAAATATTTTTAATTTTATTTTAATTTTATTCGCATAATTTATAATTACTATCTCTTATTTAAGTTTTATTTCTATATTTATGTTTAAAAATATTTGCAATTATCGCAATTTTTATTTTTGCAATAAATTATTTTCTTTTTAATATAAACTTGTTACATTAAATTTATATTTAATATGATTTATATACGATTTTCTCTTTATTTTTTATATAATATTATTAACTTTATTTTTTATATAATATTATTATTCTATATCCAATATATTTTATAAAATAATAAATAATTAATTTAGAATAATAGTAATTATTATTCCTAATTATTTATTCGGTAATTTTCATTTTAAAATGATTAAATGATAAATATATTTTATAACGTAAAATATTAAAACAATTTCAAATAGATTCAAAATTAGTATTATGTCTTTTTTACATTATAAAAAAATATTTTGCTATTTTGATTAAGAAAAAAGAAGTTTTTTTACTATTAAATGAAAAATTTGGTATCTGAAATGATTAATATTTCATTTATGTCATTTGTTATTAATTATTTATTTTATAATAAAATTTTTGTGTTGAATTTATTTTTAATCTTTTTATATTTGGTTTATTCATAAATATATTAATTTTATAATCTTTATCAATTTTACGATCGTATTTGACGTATATTGACCTTTTATTATTTATTAATTATTTATAAATTTTACTTCGTAAAAATCAATAATGAAAATTAGAATATTATAATTTTTATATAATATTTCTATGAATTTTTTTTTAGAAATTCCTGAAAGACATTTGTTTCTAAATAATTAAGTGTAATAGAAGAAGATAGTGGAATATTATTATTAATTTCAATCGAGCGATAGTTTTTGTTGAGTTGAATATTATATGATTATACATATACATATATATAATAACATTATAAATATATACAAATACAATATATATATATACGAAGATAATATAAAAATTGTATTAATATTTAAGATGAATGAAAAATTAATTAGAACAATACATATATATATTAAAACAAATATTTGTATAAAAAAACATTTGTATTTGTATAAAAAATTTTAAAAATAATTATATATTTAATAAAAATCAATTATTTATTAAATAAATAATTATTTTTAAAATACGTTATTTAACTAATGTAAACTATTTTCATAATATATATTTTAATCATCTTTTTTAGACACTTGAAGAATTACAAATTGGGATACGTGCTACGCTACCAGTTTGCAAGATAGAAAGTAACATCGATCAACGTGAGTTACAAATAATGAAATGAGATACAAATCGTAATATTTCTGATTAATTTTTTTATTCTAATTTCAGAAAAAGAAAATGATTTTCGTGACGGCATTGTTGATGTAGAAGATGACAAAGTTCAACTATATTCTAAATGTTTAATGAAAAAATTCAACGCAGTTAGTATAAATAATAAAATTTTTTAAATATAAATAGAATTTGACATATGTATAAAATAAAAAAAAATTATCATTTTTTTGTAACAGTATGATGATGATGGAAACTTAAACGAAGTTGTGGTCAGAGAAATAGCAGGACTATATTTAGATGAAAATGAAATTAATAAATTAATCGCCGAATGTTCGGCTATCTGTAAGTAAAAAATTATTAATGAAAAAATACAATTCTTTATATATTATATATTTTAATTATTACATAAAACTCTGAATAAATTATTTAGTATTGTTTTTTACATTAAATTTATCATTTTAGCTGATGCCAACATAAACATAAAATCTAGTAAGTTAATACAATGTTTTTCAAAATATAAAACATTGAAAGAAATGATAAATGTTTAAATATTCAATTATCAAAAAAAAAAAAGATTTATTCATAACACAACTTTATTTTGAACTTTACTTGAAGTTTATTTTGAACTTACTTTTTATTTTAATTAAAAAATATTTGAAGAATTATATTAATAAATTAATGTATAATTACTTAACGTTTAATTTTTTGTCGGAATTTGGGTATTAATCTATTGAAAAGTAAATAATAAAAAATGTATAAATAAATATATAATAAATGTATAAATAAATATATAAATAAATGTATAAATAAATAAATAAATAAAGTTACTTTAAATAGCTACTTATTAAAATTTGTATATAATTTATTCGTAACTATTATACCCTTTTTCATATAATCTCGGTCGTTTGACTATAGTTATTTGCGATTATTATTTTGTTTTAAACAACAATAAATTATTGAAATAATTTAACGAAATAACATTATGCCTAACTACTAACTAATTTCAACTATGAAATTTTGCTCATCAAGATAATTTTTGTTATCTATTCATTAAACGATCTTGTTTTGTCAAAATATTATCTTCTTGTTTTTTGTTTAATCGACTTTTGAATTATTTTTCGATTTAATCGATTTGAATTATTTTTCAAATTCTATTATTTTGTAATGTATTTCGAAATTCTTCTTCTTCTATATTAAAATAAATTAGGAACTATTCGCATTCTATTTTGAAATAAATTATTTCAAACGCGTCATTGACATAGAAGATGACAAAATTCAATTCTATTCTAAATATATATTAAAAAAATTCAATTTTATTAGTATAAACAAAATAATTATTTAAAAAGAATTATATATATATAATTATAATTATATATATATATATATACTTTAGACAAACTTTAATTGCATTTATAGATGAAAATAAGATTACTAAAATAGTATCTGATTATTTAAACATATAAGTAAAAAATTATTAATATAATTATTATTAATATTAATATAATTTTTTTATATTATATATTTTAATTATTAGATGAAACTTTAAATAAATTATTTATTAATGTTAATTACATTGATGTATATTAATTATTATAACCAATCCCAATATTATTTAAATAATAAGTGTGTTACGGAATATAAATCTATAAAGAATTAAGATTTATTTAAACATCCAATTATCAAAAAAAAATAGTTTATTCATAACATAATATATATTTTTTAATTTTTTAATGAAAAATATTTAAATTATTAATTATTAAATTAATATCAATATTATTTAATGTCTAATTTTTTTTATTATTTATTTGTTAAACTATATTTGTATTCCACGTTCTGAAATACCGATTGAGTCAATCTTGAAAATAGATCAAAATGTTTCTTATGCCATCTAACATGCTATAATTTAAATACAATACATATACAAAATTAAATCTGTCAAAAATTAAAAGCTATACTTTTATTACAAATTATTATATATTTTATAGCTTTTATAGATTTATATTCCATAACACATTCATTAATTTATTATGATTCAAATAATGTTGGGATTGGTTATAATAAACTAGAAATAATAAAATAAAAATAAAATTCTTCTATTTTATCTGTATTGCAATCTTATCCTATGTTGTATCGATAACGTTGACATTATATTAATAAGATTTTTTTCATAAAATTTTAAATTTTAATTTTTGATTTAAAAAATTTGTTAACAGATTATTTATTTTTATTTAAAAAAAAATCTATATTTAAATTTCAGTGAAATCAGTCTAAAAATTTTCAAAATTATAAAAAGTGATATTAAAAATTATAAAAAGTGATATTAGATTAGTTTTCTCAAAATGTTGGGTCTTAATTTCTGAATCATCAAAAATTCTTTGCGCAAACATTATTATTATAATAAAATAAAGCTATTTATGTTTTTTTTTGTCAAATTGAAATTGACAAGTTTTAAAAAATACAAAATACAAATTTTTTCTTTCTTTTTTTCAATTATTTTTTCAAATAATTTCTTAAATTATTTTTTAAAATCTGAAGTTTAATTTGTACTCAGAATTTACTTTTAAAAAATTAAAAATTAGAACATTTCAATTTTATCGCTGGATGATGTTTATGAATTATTATTAATTTTCAAAAATTATAATTGTAAAAATATAATTATTTTTTTAAATATAAAAATTTAATAATGAATTATTAAAATAATATTATTAATATTNTTTATAAATAATATTTTTTTTTTATTATAATTCCAATGTGTGTATAATGCAAATGTTATAATATAATTAAATTATACACAAATTTAGTAATAATGTAATAATTTAATAATAATGAATAATACTTCAATTTTTTAATATTTTTTAAATAGTTAGTTAAATAAATAAGATAATATTATGAAATAAATAAATCTAATATTAAATTAAATTATATTGTAATAAATTATTTAAATCAATGTATTTTTTTTTATATTATTTTAATTAACATTTTTATTAAATATTTTAAATAATATTTAATTTTTCAAGAAAAATATATATACTTTATAAGGATACATTTTATAAGTAATAACTCTTATTGTAAGAATTATTATACTGCATTCGATAGTCAAATTAGTTCCACGTTGGACATGATCGCAAAGTGAACAATATGGCTACAAAAGAAAACAATCTTCCTGTATTATATGGAGAATTAAATAAATTAGGTCAAAATGGAGAATATGAAAGGGCCATAAAAATTGCCAATAAAAGTGAGTTTTTGTGAATTTACGAATTGTACATAATCTCAGAAATTTACTATCAACATAACCTGTGCCCTATTTTTGAGAAATAACATATTCAAAAATAGAATATTTTTTAGTTTTATATACTTTCCCGGATGAAAAAGCTGCTTTCCGTTGTAAAGTTATTTGTCACATTCAACTATCTAAATTTAATGATGCACTCCAATTTATATCTAAGAATCCAAGACTAGCAAGGTATGTTCTTTATTTATTATATTAAAATTAAAGCTTTTATTTTAATTAATATTTTATAGAATTTCAAAAATGAACAAATATTTTTTTTATAGCAATTTAGATTTTGAAAAAGCATATTGTTTATATCGATTAAATCAAGTAAATGAAGCTTTAAAAGTAGTAGAAGTTTTGCCAAATCCTTCATTAAAACTCAAAGAACTTAAAGCCCAAATATTATATAGACTTGAAAAATATGAAGAATGTTTCTCTGTATATAGAGATATTATAAAAAATTCTCATGATGAATATGAAGATGAAAGACAAGCTAATCTTGCAGCAGTGGTTGTAAATTTAACAATTGAGGGTTCTGTAAGTTTTTAATACATTTTTAAGTTTATTAATATATTTATATTATTAAAACTAAAATAAATTATTATTTTATTATAATATAATATATTATAATATAATATATAATTAATTATATTATATTATGTTATAATAATTTTTATTATATTAATTAATTATAATATAATATATTATAATTATATTATAATACTTATAATATATTATAATTACATTATAATATAATTTAGATATATTTTATTTATTTCTTTATTATTTTTTTGACAGAATTTAGAAGTTCCTGTACTACGTGAAGATACATATGAATTAATATATAATGCAGCTTGTTGTTTAATTGCACAAGGTAGCAAAGGTGATAAAGCTGTTTTAATTGAGGCAGAAAAGAAACTTAGAACAGCTGAAAAAATGTGTAAAGAAGGTTTAGAAGAAGATGGAGTTGCAGAAGAAGAAATAGAAGATGAATTGGGAATTATTAGAGTTCAACTTGGATGTTGTCTTCAACTTCAGGGTCGTGAGAAAGAAGCTCGAGGATTATATATTTCTGCTTTGAAAGCAAAACCAGATGATATAGCTTTAGTAGCAGTTGCAAGCAATAATCTTGTGTGTCTGAATAAAGATCAGAATGTATTTGATAGTAAAAAGAGAATGAAAAGTGCTACTCATGATAGCTTAGAATATAAATTAACTTCTAGACAAAAAAGAAATATTGCTTATAATCAGTGTTTGCTAGCTTTATATACTGATCAGGTAGAAATTTAATCAATAATTTATTGTTTTATTGTTCATTGCATTATTATTTAATATTTTATATATTTGTAGGCAGAACAATGTCAACAACTTTGTAATAAACTTGCTAAAGATCATCCTGCACTTGCTGTGGATGCAATGTTTATTAAAGCAGTACAACTTGGTAAAGAAGGTAAAGCAAAGGAAGCAACAGATTTACTAACACAGTATGCAATTGGAGATAAAGAATTACAAATGAAATTAGTTTGTGTGCAACTTTTATTAAGTCAAGATGAAAGACAAGAAGCAATCAATGTTCTTGAAAATTTAAATGAAAGAGATAAATCTTTACCTGGCATAGTTAGTACACTTGTAACTCTTTATATGGCTGAGAATAATCGTGAAAGAGCGTCAGCTGTTCTTAAAAATGCAGTTAATTATTACAAGAAAAATAAAGTAGGCACATTTGATTTAATTTTTTTTTTTTTTTTTTAGTTAATTTAATATTATTTTTTATCTAGTATTTATTTTTAGGAAACTACTGCTAATTTAGGAGAATTATGGCGACAAGCCGCTGATTTTTATCTACGCGGAGGAGAAATTAAAATGGCAGCTGATATTTTACAAGAAATGGTAGATGCTTCGCCTTGTGATACTAAAACATTAGCACAATTAGTAGTGGCCTATGTTCAATTTTGTCCTGAAAAAGCACAATTATTATCAAAACGTTTACCGCCACTACATGATTTATATGAAACAACCGATATTGATGCTTTAGAGAGTAGCAATTGGGTAATTGGTACCAAAATGATCAAGAAAAAAATAGAACCATCTCCTGGGTAAGTATTTTATATTTAATATAATTTTAACATTAAATATTAATTAATTCTTAATTATAATTATATTCTGTAGTAAACCAGTTGATGTAACTCAAAAGAAACGGAAGAAACGCAAACGTAAAGGAAAGTTGCCTAAGAATTATGATCCAAATGTTCCACCTGATCCCGAGCGATGGTTACCTAGACACGAACGTAGTGGATTTAGAAAGAAACGAGATAGAAGAAATCGAGATGCTGCAATGAAAGGCAC